CCGCCCGCCCGCTCGGCTCCGCGCTCGGCCCGCGCTCGGCCATGCAGCGCCGGGGCGCCCTGTTCGGCGTGCTGGGCGGCGGCAGGAAGATGGCTGCGGGCGACGTCGGCGAGCTGCTGGTGCCCCACATGCCCACGATCCGCGTGCCCCGCTCCGGGGACAGGGTCTACAAGAGCGAGTGCGCCTTCTCCTACGACTCCCCGGTAGGTGCGCGCCCGGGCGGGCGGGAGGCTGGGCGGGCGCCGCGGGGCGCCAGGGTGGAGCTGCGCCGGGGGCTGCTGCGCGCCAGGCCCGCGCCGGGGGGAGACGGCCGCGGGGGTGAGCGGGCGGGTGGGGTACGCGCCGGGATCCCCTCGGGCACCCCGACGCGCCCACACTGCCTCCCCCGCTTCCACCCCCGGGCGGTTCTGAGGCCCCCAGCTCGGCTCCCTGCACGCTTCCCGGTTTCCCCAGCCTTTCTCGCCATCAGAATGTGAGAAGCAGCTTTCCGGTGGCGCCACCCGGGCCGCGGAAACCGGGGTCTGCTGGATTACGATTTTTCTCCAGCTTTTTTCCCTTCTGAGTGAGTCACTTGGGCTGACGTGCGCCAGTATAAATTATTAAAAGTTCAATTCCGAGTGGTAACCTCGGAGCCTGGAGCAGAAGCTGCGGCGCGTCGCCGGCTTCCACCGCTGGTGGCTTTCCACCCGGCTGTGTATGAACGTGTGGGAAGCGAGAGAAAGGTGAATGTCCCTCTCAGGAGTCAACATGGGCTTCAAAGTGACTCAGCTGTCTGGCGTTTGTCATGTCTTTTTGAAGACCGGGTTATTTTTATCCACCCACTTTAGATCTCATATGTCACCCCGGCCCGATCCCAACGCATTGGGAGGTTCGTCAATTGGAGGCAAAGGACAGGCTCACGACAATGGTCTCAACTCTTTTACTTGAGTAGAGAGAATATTGTTGGAGGGGAGTCCAAAGGAGTGGCAAAATTTCCAGAGTTTTCTTTAGCAGCTTATGGGTTCATTGTAGTTTTAAAGCAGTTTTGTTCAGTATACGTCGGAGTCCCAGGATTAATATGTTCATGAAATGTTTAGTTTTTATTTATGTTCTTCTAGATCACATGGGGATAAAAATCTCAACTTGTTAGTTACTTTTCTCTTTTAAGAAGATTCATACAGAACCGAGGGAAATGATTATATTTGGTACCCAGCATGCTGTTGTCCTACTACTTGAAGTGACTGGAAGGTCCTAACTAACTTGAGCAATTGATTTCCAGGAAGAAGAAAGAAAAACCTTCTGAAACTTTTGGGATAGGATGGCGTGTAAAATGGATACAATGACTTCTTCTATGTTTGATTCGTGTTGCTCTTCAAGTTCTGCTTACAAACTTAATTATGAAAAAAATTTACCACATTATATCATACGTGAGAAAAATGATTTTTTAAAAATGTATTTGGTTGGATCTCACTGCACAGCCGCTCGAACTCGTGGTAATTCTCCTGCTTTCAGCCTCCCCAGCGCTGAGATTACAGGCCTACACCGCTAGCCAGGACTCTGGCCCGCTTGGCCGGCCCTGGGGGCGGGGCCAGCAGGGCATGTGGTTGGGGGGGGGGAATCAAACCGAGGTCCCTGCGCTTGCCCAAGCTTGCCTAAGCAGGCGCTTTAGTCCAATGAGCTATCTCACCGGCCCTGAAAAGAGATTTTTTTAAAAAATGAGCTTCCACAAATATGGTAGTTATTGTGAACTGAATGTGTGCCAGTACTGTTCTAGAAGCATCTTGTCCAGGAGAAAATGATGATTTGGTTCTGTCAGAGTGGCTCCTTAGGGGAGCCTAGGGTCATTTACGTGGCTGATGAATCATGATCTGTTTCAGCAGAGGAAGAGAAGGAAGGTTTAATGACACGCATCTTAACGGCACAGGGCCTCATAATGGGAGATACTTTCTTTGAGGTACTTTCTTATCGTTTCATTAGGAATCCAGTAAATATCTCTTGAGCACCTCCTGTGTCCAACTCTTCTGTACGCATGGCTGTACAGAGCACAGTTCATTAGTGCTAGACATACCAAACTAACCCAGAAGGGCCAGGGGATTGTCATAGAGATGTAAAAACAAAAAGAAGCAAAAACAAACACTCCCCCAACAAAAAACAGTTAAGTGAAACAAAAAACCAACATTCTTGTATTGGGTTCTTGGAAAAAAAGTTCATAAAGATAGGTAGAAAATATGGGCTGGCCAAATACCTCAGTGGATTAAAGCACCCGCAAGTAGGTCCAAGAGCTAGGGGTTTGATCCCCTGGCCTGCCGTGAGGATTCTACCCCAGGAGTGCGCTGAGACAGCAATTGAGACTAGGTGGTGCACGCCTGTAATCCCAGCTCTTGGGAGGCAGTAAACAGGTGGATCACTATAAATCCAATCTAGTAGTGAGACCCTGAACACCCTGTAGACCCTTCCCTAAAATTAAAAAAAAAAAAGAAAAGAAAAGAAAAGAGACCAATATTCTAGGCAAGGTAAATTACGTGTACAAACACATAAAAGGATGAATTTTTTTTTATTTCCTCATAATGTGTTGACAGAAAAGATTAATCTGGAAAGTAACAAGGCGCAAGCTCAGAACCAAGAAGAGAGAAGATGATAGGGACTTTGGATCCTGGAAAAGTATTTGATCTTGATATTTATTTTTGAAGCTGGAGATAGAACCCAGGCAGGGCCTTACGCATGCTAAGTGCACACTGCCTCCCAGCGCCTGCTCTTGTTTTATGCAAGGAGTTATGGAGAGCCACTCCAAGCCCTTAATTGAAAATGCTGTTGGAAGGAGACAGTAAGCAACAGGCTTCCTTAAGTACCTGCCATGGCTCAGGCATCCTGTGAAGACCTTTGTTCTTCTTCACCTTTGTGCCCTGTAAGTATTGCGTGGGATGCCTGTACATGTTGGGTTAGCTCTTCCACTGTCCAGGACCAGGGCTCGTAGCAGCGATTTGGCGATGAGGGAACATTTGTTTTTTCATTTGTCTCTTTAGTTTCACTCAGGCCCACCCTCCTACCTTCATGTGTAGGTTCATCTCTAAAAGCCAGTAATACCTTCCCAGGCAGTTGGAGAAATTACCTGGTTTGCACTTCTGTTTACAAGGTCCAGCATGGAACGCTTGTCACCTGGCTATTAGGCACCTCCTGTGTCCCTCTATACTCGGTCCTCACCCTCTGTTAGCCGTTTCCATGTTGCCACCACTAGATGCATGGGTTTCTTGATCAAATTCCCAGCAACATTTTGCATGCCTGTCTTGCCTTAGAGTGCGTCTTTTCTACCAAGTGGATTCTCCTTTGCAGCAGCTGGCCCAGCAGCTGGCATGTGAAGTAGGAACCCGATGGATATTTAGGAAATGCATACATCACGTGGGGCAATAGGCCCTGGAAAAGTATTTGATCTTGAGCTCCATGCTGGACCTTGAAAGCTTGTAAGCAGAAGTGCAACATGTGGGAACACTGGGAGAGGAGCTGTGTGGGGTGATCACATAGAACGTGCTGACTTTGCAGGCTGTAGGGGACAGGTATGAGAGAGGGAGCCACGTTGGCAGAGTTTGAATCTCTGTCCCCCAGCGTGTAGCCGTCTGGTGCCCCAGTTTCTCCATCAGTGGGGCTGGGGAGATGGCTCAGTGGAATAAGCGCTTCCCTGGCAAGTGCAAGGGCCTGAGTTCAATCCCTGATTCTGACAAAAAAAAAAAAAAAAAAAAAAGGAATACCCCAGTTTCTCCATCAGTAAAACAGAAACAATGATACAACCTATCTCATGGGGCTGTTTTGTGGAGTAAGAAAATGATTGTGCCAAGTGTGCCTGGCTAGTTCGTATTACCACATATTTGTTCTATGTATTTGCTTTAAAAGAGAAAGGAGGAAAGAAGGAAGAAATGAAAAGGAAGGACAGGAAAGAGGAAAAAGAAAAGAGTCACTTGCATGCTGTAAGGTCAAGAATTTGGTGGTTAGGTGTTATGTAGGACGTTTCATGTGGTTAATTGAGGAAATTACCTGGTTTGCACTTCTGCTTACAAGCTTTCAGTCTAGTATGGAACTCTCTGGTCGCCTGGCTGTTGGGCTCCTCCTGTGTCCCTCTATACTCTGTCCTCGCCCTCTTCTCTTCTGTTTCTAGATTGTCAGCTCTGACCCGACCAGTCTGTGGCTCTTCATGTGTAAGACTTGTTTCCTTCTCTTTCCTCTCCTAATTATTCTTCAGGGCTCTTTATCTCTCCCTTGTCTTTCAGACTTTATCTTTTCCTCTGGTTACATTGCTTAGTCCATATCACGCAGTGCAGTAGTTATACTCCATTCACCGCAGTTGCTATTACTTAATTTTTTACCCATTTGATTCTTACGTTTAAGGAGTTAACTAGGTCTGAAGCCTGGTACCAAGCCCTGGGCCCTGGTGGGGCGTGTCCCCCCCCCCCCCCCGTTGTGCCCCCTGCTCGCCTGTGTTTGAGCAGAGCTCTTATCTGTGCATTGTCTTACTTTGGGTCACCAACTGAAAGTGTAGAATCTGAGGCAAGTGCTTGGTTAGGCAGTTTATTTTGGAAAGGTATCCTGGGAACAGAAATGGAATAGTGACCAAGAGAAGGAGGGAAAGCAATTTATGGGTCAGTTACTGAGCTGGCTTACACAATCTGCACTAGGCGCTAAATCCCCTGGGGGACTCTCTGGGGGACTGTGGAATGCCTTCAGAGTCCTCCACTTGAGATACGGAGAGGGGGTATGTATCTGCTGCTCCCAGCCCCCACTGGCCAAGTGTTACTCCAGGAGTAGAAACAGTAGAAACGCACTCCCTCTTCCAGGTTTGCACTTGTGTGCCCAGAGGGCTGAGCAGGGTCCTTCACCCTTCCCATGGATGGCAGCAGCTGAGAAGCAAGTGGGTGCAGCTCGGGTTAGGACTGCTGGGACGCACCTGCTGTGACAATCAGCTGCACACAGTGGTGCAAGGGGATGTGAAACTCACGATAAGTGTGCTTCCAGCACGTCTTTTTCTCATCTAGCATCAGGGCTGTTTTCCTTTTACTTTCTTTTCTTTTCTTTTTTTTTTTTTTTTGTGGCCAGCTCAGCCTGCCCTGGGTGCAGGGCTGGTGCAGCATGTGGTGCCAGGGATCAAACCTTGGTCCCTGTGGTTGCCTAAGCTTGCCTAAGCAGGTGCTTTAGACTGCTGAGCTATCTCGCTGGCCCAGGGCTGCTTTCTGGTAGG